AGGAAGTAAAATCAGAAAGACTCTGTGAATTTAACAACCTAGGTCTCAAATTTCTCCCAACTAATTATTCATTTCTACAAATTACCCAAAAGCTAAATACTTCCAAAGAGATGATGGCCTGCATTCTGTGATGGATCGATTGGCAGTAACTTCAATCTTGATGCCTCAGCACAAGTGCTAGGAACTGACTCCAAAAGCGGTAAGCAACATGGACCCTCATAACCTCCTTAATAACAACAGCTGAGTGGTTCTTTTAAGGCTTAACCTAGTTGTATTAGGGTAGCATTCTCCCCACCTCTTATTAATAGTTAAAAGATTTAAATAGAACTAAAAATCCCCTCTCAACAAGCAAATTTCAGAAAGTAAACCTGGAAACCTTATAAGCAATATCAACAGCAATCCACATGATGGAGCACTTAGTAGTGATAGCTGAAGTCTAAGCATCAAAATTCAATTACTACATAGAGCCTCCACACAACCTTCAATCTACTGGATTTGAATAATATCGAGCTCTTTCCTAATACAAAATTCAATAAAATAAACAACCAAAATTTTAACTTGAACGTACCTGGTGATCGAAGATTTTGACTACCACCAAGAAAAAATCATTATCAACCTCCCTAGTATCCTTCACTCCAATAACCACATCCTTCTTCATCATAGAAAGCTTCGGATCCACATCTTCTCCAACCTCCGTCTCGAACCACCCATCTTTAAACAACTTAACACACATATCACTCATCTGAAACGCCTCGAAGTGCACATCGGCACCCCCATCTTCATTCACCTCCAACTTCACCACGGCCGTCACCCACTCCTTCAAATCACTCTGGGCATGAAACTCGGCCGCCTGCAAAATCTCCGAATTCGACATAGTATAATCCTTCTTGGTCTGACTTATCGTCTGCGTGAATATAAACCCAACTTTCTTCATCCCCAACCCCATCGCTATAGCATCCACCAAATTTTCCTCATCAGGATCGCGTAAAAGTATCAAATTATCCTCCGTCCCTTGCTGTGGTGGCTCGTAAATAAAATCAACCTCCACCTTCCCCTCCGGCGACACTGTCCCATACATAATTCCACCCCTTTTCACCGCAAAAGCGAGGGAGTCATTCACATAGTGTTGAAAAGCATTGGCAGCATCACGATCGAAGGACACGAGCTCGCAGTGAGGGTTTTCCTGCCGAGTGATTCGCATCTGTTTTGCAATTAGGTCATCTACGGTCATCTTTTTGCCAAAAGAGCCGGCGGGGTTGAAATTGGGTCCGGCGATTTTGCGTTCACCCTCATAGGAAAGGTAGATGATTGACCCGTGCGTGAGGCCAATAGATGAGATTGGGGTTTGGGGATTGGACATGTCGGTGAATCGAGCGACATCGTCTAGGGTTTTCGCGAGTAACATGTTTTGGTTGGCGGAGAGGGTTTGGGCTTGGATTGGGACTCGGAGTTGGGACTCGATGAGGGTTTTGAGTTGGCCGATTGTGGTGTGTGGGTTTTCGATTGTGACTCGTTCTAAGCCGTCTCGGCTTCGGATTCTGATCATCATTTTGGTCATAACAATTGCGAAACAATTTCAAAGATATGGTATCAGAGGTAGTGCAGGTATATATACGTATATAGCGTGTTGTGAATCAGGTGTTGAAGTTTGGCTCAGGTTACTTCAGGAATCGATTGAGGGAGAATACGAAGAAAAGAACTTGGGAAGGAAGTACACCAAACAGGGTCGGCAACTGTAATGTATACTTTATGGAATAAGTTTGTCCGACGGTATCGATTTATCTTAAAATTAACAATATTTTTTTTTTAAATTATTCATATTACATCATATTTTTATACACAAATTAACTTTAGTATATATATAAAATAGTTATTGTCTGTGCTTGATGGTACAAAGTAATAAAAAAAGATAAACGATAAACATATTTATATTCATATCTAAAATTAAATCACAAACATAGAAAAAAAATAAAAGAATTTAAGCATCGATTTTATAGTGGGGTAAAAAGTGATAGACGACAGTGGTAGTGGTAGGAGACGGTGATGATTGTGGTGGGTGGTAATGATTGTGGTGGCGACTGCAGCGTTGGTGGTGGTGGTGGTAGCGGTGGCGATGGCGATGGCGGTGGCGATGACGGTGGCGATAGCGACGATGATAGGGGTGGCGACGTTGGTGGTGGTGGCGATGATGGTGGTGGAGATGGCGGTGGTGGGGTTAGGGATGGTGGTAGTGGCGGCGATGGTGGGGGTGATGGTGACGACGACGACGGCGGTGGCGGTAATGGTAGTGACGGCGACGACGACTGTGGTGACGGCGACGACGGTGGTGATGGTGGTAGAGGTAGTGGTGGGACGGTTTTAAACACTATTTTTTAAAAAATATTTATGAGATTAAATTTAGAGCGTTAATATTAGTCGTTAGATTAACTTTAAAGTAAAATTTAAAGCGATCTCAACCGCAAATAGCAAAAGTCATTTTATTTATCTTTTGAAATTTAAATTGTAAACTATTTTATTATATAGATATAAACTCAATTTTTCTCCCAACTCAACTCAAACTCAACAAAACTTAATTCGAATCTTTTATTTTTAAGGTATTTGAGTTAATTTATGTACATTTCGATTAATCTTTTTCAAAGTATGATCAAATAGATTTATTCAATAGTCATCAACATCCCTCTCAAAATCATTTATATTACACTGTATCTTCAATGACGGATTATGTAACACCCCAATCCATTTAGTAATATTCAGAGTAGTCATTATCTCGATAACGAATAAATTGAATTTTGATTAGATATCTGAATTACTAAAACACCTTAAAAATGAACAAATAACCTTTCGATAACTATTTAAATTACAATCAACCAAAGTCTTTCATTCATTGATCAACCTGATTCTCCACCAAAGTTTACTCCAAATTCAACCCGCAGAGAGGGTAAATGGGGGTGAGCTGGGGAAAACTCAGTAAGTAATTGAAAACATAATATACGAAGTCAAAGGCGAGACCATAATTTATCAACCAACCGATAATCCATCGATGACACAAGAGTTACGGAGTACAAATATATTGAACAAGTCAACGATCTCCAATGTTTGAACAAAACAAATCAACCATGATTGAACACTCGATCAATCCCGACAACAAGCTAGGCATCATTCGGTGCATTTTAATTAAATCATGTCCACCCCTCAGGGCCACGAACATGAATCACAATCATAACAATGCCACCGAGTATATCTTACACACGAGTCAAAAAATCTCAAGTAATTCTCCAAAGCTAACATTATAGCAATTAATGACAAGTCAAACAAAAAATCAGAAATTGAACGAAATATTATTTGGAAACTCAAACTCAAACGATATCACAATTTGAGTACGTATAGCACGATATCAATAAAATACTCTTTATAAAGAGATTAAAAGAATGCATATCATGTATAAACCACTTACTCAATTCTTAACCGATTGATATAAAATAGACACACATCACATGGCATGCATTTGTATAAATTGACAAGTGTCCTACTTTATTCCTCGCGCTTTCTTTTATAGTTATCCATTTTTTTTTAACTTCTTATCTCTTCTATTTTGTTTTGCTATCTTATTTTATTCCATAGCTTTTAATTCATTCACGTTAAAGACCAGCCCATATTTTCATAGTTACACTTATCCTTTATTTCATATATATATTTTTTTTTTCCTTACTCGATATATTTTGATCACTATAAAATTTATAATAATCAAATATTTCACAATTAAATCCTAACTTATAACTTGACCCCAAATGAAATTCGTATAATTTCTAACAATATCAGATAACTCATAAAATTTTAATTATTTAATCTAGCTCGAGTCGAGATTCGGTCATCACAGATTAACCCTAATGTATGTGTGTATATATACTCGATTTTTCTCCCAACCTAACTCAAACTTAACAAAATTTAATCCTAATCTCTTCTATTTTATTTCAACGATCAGAGAAGTATTCGGTTCAATTTATGTGCACCTTAATAAATTTTTTCTTGGTCCAATCAAAAATAAATCATTGACATTAAAACTAGAGTATTCAAAAGAAATAAATCTTATATTTGTTTAATTGGGTTTCATTTGTAATTGAAGTCCCACTGCGATGTGTCCTATTTCCTAAGACAATGTCGAATTTTTTTAGATTTTTTAAAATTTATTGTGAATAAATTGAAATAAAATATATATAATGTTACTGGTAAAAATTTGAATTCTTAACGTATAATTCAAATAACTGTTAGAATTGATTTAAGTTTCATCCACGTACTTTGATATAATAGTACAAAATTTTTTGTAAATTTTTTTTCGCTCAAAAACATCTTTTTTTTTTTGCATGACCTCCGATTGTAAGACAATCCAACTAATACATTTCACAGTACCAAATAATTTCACTAATTCACTGTTGACTCTTTCTTATCTTGGTTTACCTCTTTCTTATTTTTTCTTTGTTAACTTAAATTTTAAATTATTTAATTAATTAAATAAATAAATTATATACGATTTGATGATATATGTTTCACTACAATGAGCAGATGTAAGAAATCAATGAGTATTGAGTTACTTAGTCTAAGCTCCTAGGTTCTTAGGTTTTGGATCAAGGAAAGGGGTTTAACACACAGAAAATTTATAGTGGTTTATCAATTCAGGAGCTTAGCTAGTTCACTTTTAAGGGAATCTCTTCCTCCCAAGGGTTGTATTAATGAAGAAATGAGACTGCAAAGAGTGATTCTAATTACAATTGCTTATATTCATTATTGGGAGTGATGCCCCTTATTTATAGTCGATCTTGAGTCTTGCTTAACCTTTGATGAGATCTTTGTCCCTCTTTGTAACGGTTGCTATTATCTCGTGATGGTTATGGAGGGTATTGTGGCAGTTGCGATTCTTCTGCCTAGATATGCGACCATTACTATCTAGGGTGGTGCTTGGGTGGAGTCTAGCTGTCTTCTACACTACCTTCCTTGAGATGTGGTTACAGGGATGAGAGATTTGACCTCGAGCTCCATGAGCATCCAAAACAATCTAGGTTCCCGATCTAAGAAAGCATGACCAGAATCACTGAGCTCATCCTTAAGTATTTTTAAGGTATCATCACTATCAATTCTCAATTTTTGATATTGTAAGGTGTCTTCAGACATGAGATTATTGTTAATATATTTATAAATTGATCATAACTTATGCTTGAAAGCACAATGCAGCATATAATCCAAAAGTCCAAAAAATCAATACCATTATAATCGATTAATAATTTTTATTTCCTTCACTTTTTTTAACAAAATTTTCTCTAAATGCATGACCTAAAAAAATCAAAATGTGTATACCATCGTTTATGAAAAATGTCTGAAGTAAAAATTATTTGAGTCATAAATTAATAAAAAATTAAATAATTCAACTTGTAATAGAAATGAGTGATGTGATAGAAAGGATTGAAAAAATATATATGAGAATAAGATTCAAACTAAAAATATATATGAGAATAAGATTCAAACTTCTAACTCCCTTATTATATATATGATAATAAATATTGGCGTGGTACATAGTGGTACCCTAAAATTATTTTTAATAGTATTCTCTATTTTTGGAGAGCATTTTTTTTAAATAGAAATCATCGTTTATAAAATTTTAAAATAGACGGTGAATATTTTTGACAACTTCGACGGGCTCTCTAATATGCTTTTGGAGTGATTTTAGAGTGACATATATGGAGGGATTTTTGGAGTGATTTTAGACCTTTGCATCAATTTTCATAATTTAGTCCGAGTCATTATTTTGCTTTTATATATTTGAAATTCAAGTTTCTAGCTGACATATTTTTGAAGTGATTTTAGACTTTTGGATCAATTTTCTTGAATTAATATAAGTCATTGTGTACTTTTATAAGTTGAGAATTCAACTCTTATTTGTAATATTAGATAGGATAAATTTCAATAACTCCCTTGAATTTAATTCATATTTAACTAATACCCTCTCTGATTTATAAAATATCACTACATACTCCTGTCAATTTTTATCTGTTAACAGACTTAACAGAATATGTAATTTTATTAAATTATCTTTACTAGAACTCTCATTTTACTTAATTACCCTTACTCAAATTAATACAAAATTAATCTATAATTTTATCAAATTAACATCAAATTGAACTTTAATTTTGTTTGATTAATATTCAATTTTATCCAATTAATATTTAATTTTATCAAATTAATATTCAATTTCATCAAATAAGTTCAAATTAATATTAAATTTTGTCAAATTAACATTCACATTCATCAAATTAGCATTCAATTCATCTAATTAATATTCAATTTTATTAAACTAATACCAAATTAGTATTCAATTTTATAAAATTAACATTCAATTTTATCAAAATNATTTTATAGTGGGGTAAAAAGTGATAGACGACAGTGGTAGTGGTAGGAGACGGTGATGATTGTGGTGGGTGGTAATGATTGTGGTGGCGACTGCAGCGTTGGTGGTGGTGGTGGTAGCGGTGGCGATGGCGATGGCGGTGGCGATGACGGTGGCGATAG